TAGAGCACGTGTATTCATAGAGAGAGAGAGATGTGAGAGGGAAAGCGAGAAATCATTCTCGAAGGGGGGGTGGTCACACCACAATCCCTTCTCCTCCATTCTCCTCCTGGGATTTTGAGCACACACACATTCAGCATGATTCTCAAGCTGCCATGTCCAGTACTTGAGCTATGGTTGACCATGTGGGAGTCCAGTGCCTTAACCACTGCACCACCTGCTAGCCTGCCAGCTACATTTTTTAGTATAACCATTTCCTCCACTTTTATTCATATTAACTTGTTCTATTTTAACTTTTTTGAAAGTGCACAAGTAGAGAATGAGAAATTTAAAGATAGATAATTAAAAATAAAGGCAATTAATTAAAGAAAGTTATTCAAAAATTCTTAAGGGTTACACACCAAACTAAACCTCATGATTCTCTTCAACAAAGTAGTCAATTAAAGCAGAAAAGGATTAAGGAAAAAAATAATCACTCAACTCTTCTACTAAAGCACTCAAAGTTCGGAGAGAGGGATTAAGATTAGGACTGTAATCAGAGGAAACTGTAGCTCACTTTTATAGCAGTGTATACAGGTTACCTAACAGTCAAGGTGAAATACATGTACAAACTACAAAAGGTTTGTAAACAATAAGAAGGTGATTTAAACTACTGAGCAGTAAAGGGAAAAAGTACACTACTACTTACAGCAAGGGAAGATGTTTGTAGGCAGGCATTTTTAATTCTTGGAATCAAAGCATTTTTCATGGATGGGTAGTCTATAAGGTTTGCAAAAGTTGGAATGATGTTTAGACAGAGCTCCTATTAAAAAAAATAAGTTGGATCAGTCTTGGGGAAAGATTCTTTTTCATCCTTTCTCTTACACATTAAAGAAACATTCTTCATTAGCATGGCTCGTTTGTCATATAGTTAGAAATTTACTGTCACAACAATATATTATTTGGTCCTTTAGAAAACTAATAGAAAAAACAGTTAAAATTTCTTTTTAAGTTTTACAGATGAGGAATAAGGCTCAGAAGATCTTACCTAAAGTAATACTAGGTCATAATAACTAGCATATATGGTATCAGAGGTCCCTAACCTCGTTCCCAACCTTCTTCCTAGAGGAGGTTCTCATTCATTTTTAAAAAATAGAAACACGTAAGTTTTGCTACCTTTCACAATGAGGGAAAATCAAAGACAAAATCATGTAAAAATATTCCTCTTAAATATCCCAACCTCCTTCCTAGAGGAGGTCCTCATTCATTTTTAAAAAATAGAAACACATTAAGTTTTGCTACCTTTCACAATGAGGGAAAATCAAAGACAAAAATCATGTAAAAATATTCCTCTTAAATAAGAGATTCCTTAGTTGTTACATATATCCATACGATAGATTATAATACAAACACATTTTTTAAAAACTGATTTTTAAGGTGTCTAAATATTGAGGATAAAATATAGTAAGATATTTTGGAATTATGTAATAAGACATAATGTGATTATATAAACATTACATAATCCTGATCTTTAAAAATGTGTATATACATGTGCCTTGGGTTTAGGATAAAAGACTAGGCAGATACATTTGGAAATGTTAACTGACATCTTTAAGAGGATTTTAATTTTCTGTTTATCTTAAGCAGATCTAAATTCTGAAACTTAAAGCAAGTATAACTCACAGAAATGGGGAAACATTCTGGTTAACTAATGTGATTCCATGGTATAAAAGATTTTAACTGGAAACAATGAATGAGAATAACAGAGGCAAGAAGGAGCTGGGCCATTGCATAGCAGTTAAGCCCTCTGATGGATCCCACACAGCCATCTGTGGTTCAAATCCTGGCGCTGCCAGCTTGAAAACACACCAGGCACGTGCACATGAGTATCCAAAATTATAACAAGATGGAGAAATGGAAGAGAAGGGTTTGCAATGTGATCATACCCCATTGGGGGCTGCTTTCTCCCTCTTACAGTCTCTCTCCATCACTCTGTTTCTCTCTTGTGTGTGAATGTGTTCTGTGACAATTAAAAATAAAAAAGACAAAGACAGGGAAACTAAAAGATTCCTAATACCTGTATTTCTAAAAATAAACAACTGGAAAGTACTATTTTTGTACAGCAGTCCGTCTTTATCTGTGGTTTTGTTTTCTACAATTTCAGTTACCTACTATGGAGTACAATAAGATATTCTGAGAGGCCCAGCTACAGTGGCACAGTGGTAATGTATGCAAGATTGGGGCTGACCTGCACATGCAAGGTACATGCACCCAGGTGTGCAATGATCCTGGTTGGCTAGAAGACAGGGGGTAAAATCATGGTATAAGTCCTTGCTGAGGGTATCTGTTTTCTCTCCTTGTGTCAGTCTCTCTCTCTCACAGAAGAAAAATTTTCATTAAAACAAACAAACAAACAAATAAAAAAAAACGTTATTCTGGGGCCAGCAGGTAGTGTGGTGGTTAAATGTGCTGAACTCCCACATGGTCAACCATAGTTTGAGTCCTGGACCTGGTGGCTTGCTTTCTCACTTTCTTTCTTTCTCTCTCTCTCTCTCTCTGTCTCTCTCTCTCTCTCTCAATCCATCCCTTGTCAACTACATGGGAGTCCAGTGACATAACCATTATCCCATCTACTGTTCCCAAGAATTCACCTTTAAAAAAAAAAAAATTATTTATTTAGGGACCAGCATTCACCTTTAAAAAAAAAAATTATTTATTTAGGGACCAGCAGTTGGTGTAATGACTATGTCACTGGACTCCCATGTAGTCAACTGCAGTTTGAGTCCTGGACCCGGTGGCTTAAACTCACACTGGGTGCATGTGCATGCATGCCCAAGATCCCAAGAGGAGAACAGAGAAGAAGAGATTGCGGTATGGCCATCCACCCTGGGGGGAGGGGGGATGATTTCTTGCTTTCTGTCTCTCTCTGTCTCTTTCTGGAGAGTGCACACACCCTATAGCAAAAACCTCTCCCCACCAAAAAAAAGATTTATTTATTTAATTTTATTTATGCATTCATTTTTTGAAAAATTTGACCAGAGAGAGACAGAGACAGAAAAAGAGAGAGAGAGAAAGTGAGAAAGCAAGCCACCACATCTGGGACTTGAACCATGGTCTGCCATGTGGGACTGTCCAGCACCTTAACCACCACGCCACCTGCTGGTTCCCAAGAGTTCGCCTTTCTTAAGGAAAAACATTTTACATTAACCTTACAGCCTTTCCTAAAGAACTTAATAGACAAAATGACCAAAATGAGTAAAATAAAGTGACCTCAAATATGTGGTATTAAGTTCACATCTAAGAAAAGGGTTAGTAAATCCTATTTTTCATATTTTTTCTTTATT